AAAGAACAATAACACCTCGCGTTTGCTCAAAAAATACGAACAAAATCTCCGAAAAGTGGTGATTATGCTGGAGCCCGCACAACTAGTGAGGACGGGCCGTTCAAGTATCAACTATGAAATAAGTAAGGATAAAGCTTTGGGCGTTGAATAATCCCTGAGAGATGCGCCATCCATTTGAGTTCATTAAGCATCGTTTGGAGGTGATTGAATGCATATGTATCGAGCCAGTGCTGCTATCCTTCCTGACAAATCTCGCACCAATTTGCCGACCACGGAGGTATGGAAAACTTGGTGTGTCATGGCACGGGGATCAATTCCACTTGTGTGCTGCAGTGAGCCTCGGACCACTGCCCAAGACGCGCCCTTCTGCGAAGTATAAAATTTTCAATCACGTATAAGCTTTTCGCAACAATTCGCTTGATTGAATAATTCTTTCTACTTCTGTTCAGCAAACACTAGGTGTTATTTTATTCCTTTATTTACGTACAAGCTGACGTTTCAGCGGATTTCGCCTTCCTCAGAACCGCTTTCTATGAGTTTTGCACTAAATATGTCACGTGGACAATACGATTCCGTGTGAACTCTGTGCGGTTGGTCTCCACGTGACATATTTAGTGGAAGACTCATAGAAAGCGGTTCTGAGGAAGGCGAAATCCGCTGAAACGTCAGCTTGTACGTAAATAAAGGAATAAAATAACACCTAGTGTTTGCTGAACAGAAGTAGAAAGAATTATTCAATCAATGCCGAGCTTAATAGATAGTCGGACGTGGGAATTCGCTTGATATCTAATTTAAAGTTGCAGGGTTACTTCGAGGATAGGCGGCCGTCGTCGAACTGCGATCCCTACCAAGTAACTCGTATGATAGTTGAGAGTATATTTTTAAGATGATGTCGCTTTCTGGTAAATATATTGTCGGGTTTTCAGCAGTTATGAGGTGTTGTTGCATTCATGGCTTTCTATTGAGTGCTCTCACTACTGTTCATGCCTATTCCCCAGTAGCTTTGCACGCCTTCGAACGTGAAGGCGTAATGGTGCCTTGGGTTTTTTAAAGGTTTTGGTTAACAATCCTTTCGAAATTCGTTATATTAATTTATAAAAATTTCGATTACGTATGGTCTTCATTGTTGTACTTTCACCTTCCCTTAGAAAATAACCAAATTGTCGTATGTTTTTCATGATGGTGTCGATAATTTTTTTGTTTACTTATTGGTAATTCTTTCAAATGAACTATCATTGTCTTCCACTGCAAATTCCTTTATTTCTTAACCTAGTTTACTATGTGTTTGGTCGTTCGTATTATTTTTGTATTAGTTAATTATAAGTATCGTAATGGTTATGTCCACAAATGATTGTGAAACGCTATTTTTGTCGGCGTTAGAGGTGATCGAATCCACACCTGGTCTATACAATGACTTAGCGTAGTCTACTAATGTATGAAATCAGTGGTGGTGCTCTCCCAGGTAGGTCCAGTACCAGTAAGAGGACTCCGGAGCGAAGTAACATTAGTGAGTCGTGGGCGTGAGAGCCACCCAGCGATTATATGTGTATTACAGTTCACCTCTAACCATTGAGCTATGCGCATCCGCAAAGCATTCGAATGTTCAAAATTCATTCTTCGAGAGAAGACACATAAAAACACCTTTATCCAGTACTTCTGTCAATTCACTCTTTATAATCGTTGTAAATAACTCACTTCATCCAAGACCAAATTTTTGAAGGTCATGAAAACGATAATGAAAATGCACTGCGGTATGGAATCACTGGCTCAAAAACGCCTCTGAGGAAGGTGATACTGCCGAAAACGTCAGCTACGGTTGTACTGTTGTATGGAAGTAAACGTATGCTGTGTAACAACCTCGCGATTGCTGAGAAAGAAGACGACGCATTTACAATCCAATGACGAGGTTAATGGAGAGTCGATTCTGGGAACTAACGCTTTTATTACTCCTCAGTGAGCCCGCCAGTACTCAAAAAACAGATTGCAGGGAAAGGTTTAATAGAAGGCTGCACTGAAAACTAAACAAAACCATTGTTGGTTTACCAGGAATGTCACCTCTAAACTTATGGCATTCTATGACTTGTTAGTCATCCACACTCCAATGAAATTGAAACAATAGAAAGTTCGTTGTATTTTCTTTAAAACTAGCGCACCCTGTTGAGCCAATCCAGTCTGCATAGGCTTAAAATTTCCACTTTTCTATCTGGATACAGATCTATATAACATAGCTGCTGGATGTAGCCCAAGCCCTGAACTACTCGTGGCCGCTTATTAAAGAGAATCCATTTCTCGTCTCACAATAGAGTAGAGAAAAGGGTCTTTCACTGTTCGCAGGAGAAGGTCGGACGATACATAAATATCGATTACTTCAGTTGTTATTTAATTCGAGTAGCACTTGTTTGTTGTTTGTCCGACTTTACAACTTTTCCAGTTACTCCAACGTACATGATACGCTTACACTAAGTCCTCCAAGTCTTCGAGAAGTTTTGCACGTTTTCGTTTCCAATAAACTCTTCAAATTATCCCTCATCTTCAAGACCAAAGTTGTACGACGAAATTTTTCGAACCAATGTTGCGTTTTGCATGTGTAAACAGTTTCAGTCAAATACGCCATTAATGTTTCGAGCCGTTTGAATGCACTACTTCCAAGTTTCGATTCATCGGATTTTTCCGAGGTTGCTGTTTGGACATCTGAAATTCTAACCCCTAAAATTTTTAGGGACATTATGTATACTGTGGCCAAATTGCACGGTTTGGAAGTGAAAACAATCAAGCTTAACAATAATATTTAGTATAGTATAGTATAGTATAACTTTTGCGCTCAATATTTGGAGGACCGCCTCTGGAGGAGAATAGTAGGCAGGCTCTGAGGAAGGCGAAATCCGCCGGAACGTCAGCTTATTCGTGAATAAAGAACAATAACACCTCGCGTTTGCTCAACAAAAATACGAAGAATTACTTGATCAATGCCGAGGTTAATAGAAAGTCGGTCGTGGGAGTTATATAGTATAGGATTCGAAAGAAAAACTTTTGCTAAAAGAAAAAGCGAGGAAAATAAATTACAAATCCGCTATTCCTTTCCTAGCAGGCTACAAAAAGAGGAGCAGAAGAGCATTCATAACGACGACTCTTTGTCACTCGTTCGAGTCATGCGGTATCTACTTTTTGAGGTTCTTTTTATTTTCTAGTTCTGATGAGATGCTTTGCAACCGCTTCTGTAATCACAATCCGTAAGTCCCCGAAGTACTTTGCCTTGATCTGCTTCAGCTACCAACTTCGGAAGGCTAACATGGATGCGGTTCCATCAACGATTCTCCTCATCTCGAATTTGCTCATTTATGTGCCGCATTTTTCGAAACCATTGGTGTATCGTACGGTCGAGAACGATTTTCTGGGGAAATTCGTCGTCAATAACGCTGTTTTCAAAGCCTTTTCAAGGCCACTTTTCGTCATGGTTTCCATTCGTGTGAAACTTGTTCGGATTTGCATATCTTCTACTTCTATTCCAGTGGTTTAGACTAAACAGGGATAGCACAAAAGTGAAACTAACTTAAAACTTAAGGTAAAATGTGGCTCGAAAATCGAAAAAAAGACAGCGAATTTAAAGAGAAACAGAACAAAACAACCTGCTTTCTAGGAACATTTGTGCTTTGTGGCTTGCACTTTTGAAAATATTATTTCGTTGAGCCGAACTTTTTTCATTACTCGGTCATGCAATGGGTGCAATGTTGAGACCTCGGGCTTTTTTCACTCCAAATATGCGACTCTGGAAGCCCATGTGTCTGCTGCTGGCGATATATTCAGTACCAATGTGTGGTGTGATTGCGAGTGTTTACTCGTGGCAAGTGCATGGAAAAAGCAAATGAGGCACGAGTCAATCTCACAGCCAAACACTCACGAATGTTTCGGCTGTTTGCTAGCGACCGGTAAGTACTTCTAGGAGTGAGTGGAGGTGTCCCACATCACTCCGCAGACGTCGTCCCCATGCATCTCTTCGCACTTTCGCTGCTCTGTCTCAGCTCCGCCAGCACTCAGCAGTGTGAGTTCGGTTATTTACCAATTTCGTGGAATTGAACCAAAGGCACGGAAGCTATGATAGTGAAAAATTAAATTCGAGAGACGACTAATTGATCCAGTAACGATATCACGTGATATTAAAGAAAAATCAATAAGCAAACAATATATCCATTGCAAATAACCCACGAAGTCGAGTGATATAATCCACCAGCACAACTCATCCGGTATTAATACATTTTAACACGATAATTTTAAAAATAAAAACATCGATGTTTTATTTTACTTTTTAGTTAAAATACTCTTCGTTATTCTATGTTTTTATGGATGTATGAGCTTAGGCATCGTAGAAGTTGATCGAGAGGTATTTCTTTTCTTTTAGAATATTATGAACGGAAGCAATTGTACATGTACATACTTATGCGTGTTAGCATTCCAACGTTAACACCTTCCGCTTAGTGCTTACCAATCCGATCTACTTTAACTTGTGAAGAAACCACCAAAATAATGATGGCGATAACATATATGCATTTTTTTACACGACACAATGTCGCATGTATAAATGTATATATACATTTATATATATATATATATTATACATATACATGTAGGAGACGGTAGCCCCGTGGTAATGATGCCGATCATCACGAGCACAGAGCTGGTTTGATCCAGCTCCGGAGCTACCAAGCTTGTCATCCCCAGGGCTCAGGACTAGTACCCAAATTTGTCCGGGAAAAAATTCACTCTCTGCAATCCATGTAGAAACGCTCAAAAGCGGCTGTCTCAGAGCTCCAGGAAATCGACTTCAACAGAATTCTTTGATATTCAAAATTAAAGAAAAACCCTCAGTCAGCAGCTTAAGCCATAAGTAACGATTGGAAGACCTTCGTGGATGATGGGTGCGAGCAAAAGAATCGAATTTGAGAAGTGGTAGGAAATATATATATATATATATATAAGCATTTTTCGAGATAACCTGTTTCCATATGTATTGTGTCAATTCGCACTTTAATTTGATTTGTTTCGGTCATCCACATTTTCGGATTTCAGTTGTAGGTTTGCTTGCTGCTTGAGGATTTTTAGCCTTTTATGTGAACATACTGTTCGTAAATTGGAGGAAGCTGGTTGATTCCAGACAAGTGTGATGCCGACGTCACTACGGGAGGGATGAGGTTTGGTCGGCTAAAGCGGGATCGGACCGTGCATTTGTGCATATTGAACGGCATCCCTACCACTGTGCTACTTCAGCCCATTATGTATAATATACTTCCAGTTTTCATAATTAGTAGTGTTGTATGGGATTACAATAATTTAAGAGCATTTTTGCTCAACTGTTTTCTAAAGACAGCGTTAAACTTCGGGCTATATTGAGAAGACCAAAATCCTCAGTAGTAGCCTAGTTGGCGCACAAAATCAGAAGACATTCGTGGAATATGGATGCGTTGAAGCGAATGGAATGAAAGAAGTGCTGAGATCCGCACAATATGTCATGTCGGGTCGTAAAAGAAGCATCAAGCATCTTTGCGCAAAAATCTTTATTTCTAGTTGCCTTTCAGTAAAGTAATTCACCATGGTGTAGTGGTGGTGTTTTCAAAAAAAAACTTGAAAAGTCCTGCTCTGATGTTGCGTTTCAACATCCATGAACACAGGTTCTGGAAACTATGAGGCGGTAAACTACTAGTTATAGCGTACTATTTTCAGTTTTTTATCTATTTATATGACCCATCCCTACGTAGTACGCGTATTACCAGCACGTTTTTCATTGAGTTCCTTCTCTAACATCCGTCAATACAATGATTTTTGGTTTGAGTTTGGGTTCAATTTTATGAATTTGTGCTCTTGAATGCTGGTCGAATCGACTTAACCTAGCATCCTGGGATAGGCCATACTAAGGCGCTGCTCAGTCTCGTGGATGAGGAGCTTCTCGGACAAGTCTGCTAACATTTTCCCATCCCGAAGGGATGTGAGGCTTGTTTGATCCAAAGCATTGTCGAACCAACAACCATCAATGTATTGTACAGCAAATTTAATCACTCCACTTTCCTTGACCCTGCTACTTTCCCAGCGAAAAACTTGTTTTGATCTCCCGCTTTATGCGAACCAAGTGAGTCAGTAGAGACCATTACAACGTCGGTGGTCTGTACATTAATCCGTAAGATAAAGGCCGAACTATTTCCCTAATTATTCTCCGTTCCCACTCCCCGCTGAAACGAGACAGCCTGTAAAGAAAACGTGCACTTCAAAAGAAGCATAACCAAAGAAAACTCTATTTCAAGTCCCTCACTTTCGATCACAGAAAATTTGATTTAGCGAAGAACGTACTCCGTTGTTTTTAATTAAATGTCAAGAAATAGCAACGAGGTTATCAACCAATTGTCAAATATGTTAATTAAGTCATTTTTCCCTTTTGCTTCCATTCATCTCGGCAAAACCTTGTTCCACCTTTCTTATGGTTTCTAGTACGAAATATTGGCGGTGAAAGACATCCTATGTCAATGTTAGAAACTCTGACTGTTCCGAGTGATAGTTGTTGACAATCTCAGTATTGATATTGGCATTGATGTTTATATTCTGGCTATTCGGTGGGTATTAAGTAAATATTGCAGAGCACACGGCGATGACTAGGCGTTGCCATTTGCTTCTAGAAGATCATTTCGTTTTTCGATGCTCAAATGAAAGGGCTCGAAGAAATTTAACTGTAGTTGCCATACAACGTTCTTTTTCATAATTCATCAGGTGCTGACAAATTTGTAGTTGCAGATGGTCAAATTAACGGCGGACAAAATGTGCAACCAGGATTGCACAGTGAAGGACATTCTCCGGATGTCAACGAACTGCAAGGCATGCAATACGCAGGAAGCGCTCTCCAGCACCAGAGTCCGCAATACCAACCAATTGGCCACTATCCAAACTATGTCCAGAATAGCCAGTCAACGTATGAGCCTTCTACAAACATGAATAGTCAGAATCAATACAATCCGAGCTTTCCATACGGAACCACGCAGAATCGTGCCGCTTATGGCGTTCAAGAACAACAAATGGGCCAAAATCAGTACCCCTATGGATTACGAGGCCAAACCTATCCATATAATCAGCGTGTTGGTCTCCAGTATGATCAACCAACTAACCAGAATCAAACGGAAATGTTTCAGTCAGGAATGTATGGAAATCAACCGAACATGTACGGGCAGAATGGGGTAATTTTTTAGTTTAATTTTAAGCTTTCTTCTGTTGGTAATAGTGAAATATGACGGCAGTGAAAATGGTACTCATCTCTGTGGAATTTTTGATCGATAAAACAGTTGTCAATGGTTACACGGTCTCATGTTTCGACTGCATAGCCTAAAAACAAAACGAAATCGTTGAATGGCTATGAATGAAATTCACTCTTCTCTGTCTTATTTCTTGCAGAATACCTTCTACGGCAGTAGTAGCAGCATCTTGAACGGAAATACTAACATTCACGTCCAAGAATTTTCCTTCAGTAATGGCAACTGCAAATACGAGGTGATCATGATTTTAATACAGAATACCCCAAATGCGTCCTATTTCCACACACAACTTTTTGGCCGTAAGTTTTTGTGTTCGGTTTATATTTTGTCAAACGGGGATCTTGACACATAAAGATCTGCTCTTTCCACATACGATTTTGCAAAACACCCTTTTGAGGACAGTTCATTACAGGCCGATAACTTGGCCGATAATTGACCGCCGTTTTAATTCTAATCGCTATAGTGAATCACAGTTATCGAGTGGGAATGGGTGGGGATAGAAATACAAAAGATAAATATGACATAGGTTGAAGAACTTTTCTAAATGGTGACAGTAATGTGTCTACAACAGCATCTAATGAGTAGGAGCACCCATTCGATTCATACTCATAGAAACGATAAAACAAAGTCTCTGCTGCAATTCTATGGTGTATACAAGTCAAGTCTTCTGTTTCCAGGTATCGGCTTTCCTTTAACCTTCCACAAACGATGAATGTTTCTAAGTTGATTAAGATAACACGAGGTTGCTCTAAAGTTTTGTACGGTTAATGTTTTTGCGCATTCGCTTCTTCAAAGCTGCGTTGAACCGCCCGCGGCCCGCCCACGCCGTGATGTAGGTCTTCGTTGTATAGTTCGTCGTTGATCTAAATATTGCTACGCTACTTAGCAGCTAATGTTGACTCAATGCGACAACGAATAACCACGCGGTGGTAGTGACCACATGCGGACCAACGAATCAGATCAAAGGATTTAAAGTCTTCCAGTTAGTGAGAACGCATGGCCAGTCGTCGGGAAAGTGGTATGTGCGTAGCAGTTAAAAAATGTGTCGTTCTGCACCGTTGCCACGCAGATTTAAACGTTGAGCGCAACGTAATATTTACATGACGACGTGACCTCTACAGGAGGCGAAAATGACACAATTTTATTTCCCACGGCATACTTGCGGCTGTCGCCATTCCTTTAAAGACTTTAAGAACTCAGATGTTGTTGTTACCTCTTCGAAGATTGTAACTCTAAACATATTTATATTAGAAAACACCCGTGTAAAAATCACATGTGTGGTTAATGTGACAGAGCAAAACTTCTTCTAAAAATCTATAACCTTTAACGCAAAACCATTTTCGCCATGAGAGGGTTAAAATGGATGAAGCAGCTAGCTAGTATGTTTAGATATAAACGGTTAGCGGTCCTGTCCTAATCGAATAATGTTTGAGAAAGGAACACATATGTTGTTCGTAACTGCGCTGTAAATATCAGATTGAACTATAGCAAATTTAAGCGTATTCGAAAGCCGATGACATAATCTGAAATGAAGTACTTACTGAATGATAAGACCGTTCGGTCGTTTGAAATATCCGGACAAGTAAGAAAGCCTGCTGGTTGTAAAGGTGTTCTCAAATGTTTTTCTTGTATTCGACAATACTCAGGTTTCTTAATGAAAATACTTGAAGTGGTATTCTAATTCGCTAAAAATGTGTACTTAAAGTGGTTCAAGTGAAAGTTATGTTACGCTTTGCCTGGTCTACTCAATAATGTGATGGATGAGGCATGTAGTGGGCTTGCTTAGAAGCACTAGACATAATTTTTTCTTAATATTACCAATAGAGTATATCCATGCTTGAGAGTTAAATTTTTAAGTAGATCCGAAACTCCTGTGCTGAATATTTTGATAAATAGACAGCCGATCGATAAATTTAAAAAAGACCCACAATCATCCAATACTTATAAGAAGTTCAATCACAAGGAAAAATTGCGCGGTATTTAGAACGGATACATCACTGAGAATGGCCAACAACGCCAGGCGACGCAACAAGATCTTGAAAAAGTCGACCTGTTTAAGAAATACATCAACGAATTTATGACGCAAGTGAGTTCCAATGTAAGTCTAAGGATAGTTATTGCAAGCAATTTTCCATCACTTATCACACCTGTTGTGCTTGCATACATCATTGTATCATCATTGCGTTCGTTAATGTCTCGTTTCCATAGAGAACTTTCAAATCTTTCCACTCCATTCGATTTTCGACTTCTCGGCCTATGCAACAACGTCAGTCATTTTTTACTGTCGCCGTGGATGGGAATATCGGATTCCTTATCTCACTTGCATGGCACGGGTTCTCCTAGTATATTGCCTACACAGTTGCTCGTATACTCTATCATTTCATCGTACATACGTAATATCTTGGTGTCAAAGAAGTAAATTGATGTAGGAGGGAACTCAGAGATGCAAATGTAGGCATGGAAATGGGTACATTTTTCGCCTACCATCACATCACCTTCTCTTTTCCTGAATGCTCTCAAAGCTGCTCGTTTCTTTTTGCTTAACTTAGAGGCCAAATCTTTTATTATGCTCACTTTTCTATCGACAAGCACGAGAAGACCCTGAAGACAGTGGTTAAATGTACAGGCAAGCCTCTTGCGAAGCAAGACTTTTATCTCTCTAGGGTCAGCAAACTTGTGCCGGACTTGCCTGGGAAATGCTCACTCCGTTTCACAAGGGTTGACAAGTACCTTTTATGAGGAAACGCTCTTATGGTGCTGTACAGTATTCAGAAAATCAAGTTGACCACCGTCTAATAAGATTAATAAAGAAGATAGACTCTGTATGTGGCAGCTGAGCTAGCAACCTTCACGGAAAGACTTTCATCGAAGATGAGGAGAAAGTAACACATACAGTGAAGGAAGAGTTGTGATCTGAACTGTAATTAATGCTGAGTATCGTAAATAAGTATTCGAAATGCACGTAATTTGAGTATTTAGAGATGGTATTTTTTCTAGCGTGAATAGGAATTCAGGAGTGAAATCTTTTTGAAGGACATAGTTTTTCTTAGGTCCAGCTGCAGAAGGATTTTCACCACACGATTTTCAGATTGTTGATGTTTGTTCTTTAAAACAGTGCCATCTGCAACCGGAAAGTCCATGCCCACTTCAACGTTGTCATTCTCAAGCGTTCGCATGATGTTTAACAGAACAGTAGTGTTGTAGAAGATGGTATCCCTTGTCAAGTCGTTTTTTAACGCCGACGCTGGTGCTGTAGAATTTCTAGGCTCCCAGCCTGTTATATTCTAAAGATAAAGTGCGCTCCGTGTGCATATAATTCATCGTCTGGAACTTTTTTCGCAGCTCCATTACTCTCTTGACTTTTTTTTCTCTTCCAATACTTCTCATTCCAGTTGAGAATGACGCGAACGAACAGGTCTAGACAACTGGAAGCAGAAAAATTAGGTGATGGTGTCTATGTTGCGTAAAACTCACTCTTTGTGTAGCACCACCGTTTTGGTGTACGGCGGGTTGGCTAATTTGTTAACAGTAGAACGAAGAAGTTTCGTAGTTTTTTATCGACTAAATATCATATGGATCCTTGGAAAAAGGAGCAGCTGGAATAGAGTGTATTTAGTCGATGCGCACAAGACAACAGTTGAAAACATGTCCTGAGTCGTGTCCTGGAAGTCCTGAGTTTCCTAACATATTACGTAAGCATATGAACGTAGTAAGTAAGGGAATCAGAACGGAAGTCGAAATTGATGTTCAGCGTTTTCTTAGGTTGTTTGCTAACAATTTGGTCGAGAACTAAAAAGCGAATATCTTAGCCTTCTGATTAGAAGGGTCTCAATAGATGTTGCAGATACTTTTCTCAAGATTTGCTACCTCTGACATGCTACTGCTCTCCTAGTCACAAGCATCCACTTACCAGTTTTTAAACTCAAGAGCGCTATCGTGGTGGTGTTCGCTGGTAAGCTTTGGGGTAACAATGGCACTGTTTAAGAAAAACGTTTGATTGACGATGATGCTGATAATCTCGTTGTGGTACTCTACATTGAGAGTATCCCACGTCCAACACCGCAGGTAGGGTTTTGGTTAATTCTACTTGCCATGGAAAGTATCAGCCTATAACCACAACGTTGCTGAAATATTTGCAAAACTCTGGACCGCAGGTGTCTATGGTGGGGAACGAACGCGCTATTGTCCTTTCCGGGGAGTAACGCGTTCACCACCACACCGTGCGGGTCCTTTGTTTCGCACGTCTCTCAGCTATTTCTATCGATCTTTTGATTGCTCTGATTTTGATTTTGATTATCGATTGCTGTGGCAAAAAGATCGATAGAAATAGCTGAGA